GCGTTACCCACTCTGGGCCAACCTCTCCAGGCTTGGCTCCTGAGAGGGACAGGCTAAGGCAGGGTGGATTGTCTGATAGTGTTATTCAGTCTATCCAGGCAGCTAGAGCTGGATCCACCACAGCCTGTTACAGGCTGGGATTCCTGCGATGGTGTGAGGAGCGGAAAATAGAGCCCCTATCTTGTGAATTGGGATCTATTTTGTCGTACTTACAGTTATTGGTGGACAGAGGGCTTGCTCATTCCACAGTGAAAGTGTATGCAGCAGCCATCTCGTCCTGCCATGAGGGATTTGGCGGCAGGTCAGCCTTTTCTCAGCCACTAATGTCGTGGTTTTTGCGGGGGGTCAGGAGGCTGCGCCCAGTAGTGCGCGCCTCCGCCCCGCAGTGGGACCTGCCGCTGGTGCTCGAGGCTCTGGTCACAGAACCATTTGGGCCTCTGGAGCTCTCCTCCCTGAAAGCACTGTCGTGGAAGACAGCATTGCTACTTGCCTTAACGAGTTAACCGCTTTATCGGTGCACCCGAGTTGTTTAATGATCCGGGGTGACCAGAGCAGGGCGACACTCAGGCCGAACCCCTCCTTCGTGCCCAAGAGCCTAAGGAGTGCGTTCAGGTCGAGGGCTATTCAGTTAGGGGGCTTTAATCTTCCACCCCATAGTGGGGCGAGGGACGCTAAATTACACCTCCTCTGCCCGGTGCGTGCGCTGGCATATTATGTGGAGCACACGGCTGCCCTTAGACCCACGGAACAGCTCTTTGCGTGCTTCGGGGGTGGGGTAACTGGAAAAGCTCTGTCCAAGAAACGCCTGGCAGGCTGGCTCTGCGAGTGCATTGCACATGCCTACGGACAGGCGGGGAGAGCCTTCCCCACGGGGGTCCGTGCACACTTTACACTAGCCATGGCTGTGTCAACAGCCTTATTTAACGGCGTGAGTGTGGAGGACATATGCACGGCGGCATCTTGGTCAACGCCAGGCCCCTTCATAAAGTTTTATCTCTTGGACATGTCTGACTCCTTTTCATTGTCTGTGCTTGCTGGGGCAACACAGGACTGGTGAGGAGGGAGGGGGGCTGTGGGTCAGTGGGCATCTGACCCCCTCCCCGGACGTAATGCGCATTACGTTTCCCCGGCCCCGGGGGACGTGACGCGCACATGGGCCCATAGGGGCTGGAGGACTCTTTTCCCCCTGCTTTAGGGCAGGGGGGGGGGAGTCCTCCACGTTATAGCACACCTCCGCGGGGTAAGCGCGTCAGGGTGTGCTCTGTCAGCCGCAGCCTCTTTTCTCTCCACGGTTACGACCGAGGGAGAGGTGAGTGAGGCGCAGCGGCTGCTAACCAGAAAGCCGGTCAGAAACAGTGAGATGGAACAGTGTTGTTGTGGGACGACAGCGCGTGTATACATCGGGGCTCTGTACCCATAGAGTCCAGTAAAGGGCGGAGCCTGTGAGAGATATAACGAGGGGTTACGTATGGTAACCCTTGTTATATAAACACAGGCGGAGCCCTCTACTCAGGGGCCCTGTCTGTCCTATGCTGCTTGCTGAAGAGAAGCAAAGGATGGCAGTAAGGAGGCGAGGCCTCCTTTTATGCGGTGAGATGCACGCGCATTCAGGTAGGCCCGCCCACTCTAGAAAGTCTCAGTGGATGAATGCTTGCATGATAGGATCGAGGGGAGTACCCATAGAGTACAGTAGAGGGCTGCGCAACCCCTCGTTACTAAGTATATTTACTCAAGTACTGTACTTAAGTACTATTTTCTCATACTTGTACTTTACTTGAATATTTCCATGTAATGCTACTTTATACTTCTTCTGCACTTATTGTACTTTTTACGCCACTACTTTTAATAATAACTACTTTTTACATATGATATAATGCAGTACGCTACTACCAATATATATATATATATACGTATACGTATATAAAAAAGGATTATCTTAATATTAACAAATTACAACATTTAAATGCCCTTACATGTATTTGTAAGCAATTACAATATTAATGATACTAATATATTACTTTCAAAACAGCCATGGTGCATAATGGGTGCTTTTTCTTTTTATACTTTAAGTACATTTAGCTGGCAATACTTCTCTACTTAAGTCACTTTTGAAATCAGGACTTTAAGCGCAAAGTTTACTCAAGTAAAATATCTAATATCTTATAACAAGATGGCTTCCACGACTGAACACAGGAAATGATGATTAATACACAGTAAATTTCTCTGAGTAAAATTGACTCAAATTGAAGAAAATTTTACTCTAAAAATATAACATTTGGTCCCAACCTATATAGAGTAAAATGTACTCTTTGTTCAGAGTTTTATTTTTAGAGTTCATTTTACTCTATTATGTGCTCAGATTTGACTCTGCTTAATGGTTATTTACTCTATGTAGTGTATATTAAAAACAACTCTACTGCCATTTTACTCATAATAGAAGGTCATTTTACTCCCAATAGAACGTCATTTCACTCCAACTAGAAGGTAATTTTACTCAGAATAGAATAAATGAACCATAATGATCTTTACAATAAAAAAGGTCAATAAACCAAAGTGCTTAAGGAACATGAGTGGGCGTGTGTGAAGCTGGCCATTGAGCGGCCCAACCAAGCAAGGAGGCAGAGGCAGAGAGTTCAAATACAACCCGGTGTGGGCATTTATTCCTCTTTGTGGTACAGGATACACAGCCTCAATATGACTGTCTCACGTGAACACAGTCACCAGCCACCAGGACCTCTCACACTCTCACACTCTCACACTCTCTCACACTCTCACACTCTCACACTCTCACACTCTCACACTCTCACACTCTCACACTCTCACTCTCACACTCTCACACTCTCACTCTCACTCTCACTCTCACTCTCACTCTCACTCTCACTCTCACTCTCACTCTCACTCTCACTCTCACTCTCACTCTCACTCTCACTCACACTCACACTCACACTCACACTCACACAAACAGGAAAACAGAACCTAAATACACACAGGACTAATCAAACCAACAAGACACAGGTGAGGAGGGAGGAGAAACACAGGGCACCAGGTGAACGCAATCACCAGCAACAGACAAGACGGGAGGGGGAACACTTTTCAAACTAAAACAGGAAACAGAGACAGACAAATTAAAACATAGACAGATTGTGACAAATATATGCATAAATGACATATAATCACATGCTTCCTGTGCAATGTTTTAGCGTGGAACAAATGAATATACTTCGCCAATAATGAAGCTATATAATCCGTAACGGAGACCGAGATCTATGGCCCCAGAGATCACCTCCGTTACAGCGTGGTCATGGTTTAACTCCAATAGAATTGACTCTGCATTTTTGATCGCACTCTAGAAGCTATGAGTAATAAATACACTCCAAAATGATTAAATATCACTATTTCAGAGCAAAATAGTAATTACTCTGGAAAAAATACTCACCAATATTTCCTGTGTATCATGATTGGTTGGCTTTTAAACATATTTTTAAGAAGTAGAATTCATTAAAATGCATAGTATATTTATTTTCCTTTGATCATTGATATCAGAAACCTTAAATGAAATAAAGATCATTCTGAAGAGAAATGCCTAAAACATCATTGAATTGAACTATACTATTGTTAAACCCCTGTAGAACAACAAGCTGTATTCTAAACACTGACATATTATGTTTCTATAGTGTACAGATGGCAAACAGTTCCACATGCAGCCGATACAGAGCAACATCACTTTCCATGTATCATGTTTTTGGTCCCCTTTTATTCGGCTCTTTGCTTTCCTCTCCACTGATATGACTTTTTCTTTTGATTTCAACATCTTTACTCAGTGTTATCAGTACAGTACAAGTGGTCTCTTTTCCCAAATGTCAAATATGTATACCCACTGCATAGATCTACATTTGTTTATTTGTACTCTATTGCAAGTTAAGAACAGGATACAGGGGTTCTAATTCTCCACACAGCTAATGGCCAAAAAGCGCTCTAGACAGAACAATGTGAGTGACCTCTTTCATTTCCTCTCATATACACCTATGTTCAAGTCAAATGAGCTTTTCTTCTCATTTCCCCAAACTGTAGTTATTTAGCTGTGAAGATCATTTATCCTGCTTCTCATTATATTCTGTTCTTTTTAGTTCATATCTGCACTAATCATTCTGCTTTATTTTTAGTATACATCATTTTGTATACAATACCTTTAGCTGAAAGTGTGTATTTTAATTATACTGTGTCATAGTGTTTTCAATAAAAGAACATTAATTATAGCTTCAATCAGCAGAAGTGCTCTACGGGAAGCAGCCCTTCATATAATGTTCAAGAGCTGTGTAATAGAGGAAACCAGCCAAATCACAAAATAAACAGCTAAGTTATGAATCTGTATTTAAAGCAAAACATCTTCTAATGATTTTGGCTTTAATAAGAAAAAACAGAAAGGACTATTGATCATGGTGTTGTCTCACCCCTGATGCATTGGAGTAATGAATGGCTGCAGGTGTTGTGCTTTGGTAATTAATAGTCTTGTAATTGGACCAATTAATGAGCTAGCAGATGCAATCTGTGAGCAGACATTCTCTCAGGAGAAGACCAATCTGAACTCGCACAGAGAAGAAAAACTTAACTCAACTGCTGTCTGTCTGCCTCCATCTGCTTCATCTCCCTGTTGTTCTCCAGTGGCTGCCGTGGGTTTACAGAGCAAATAATACCAGCTGATTTGCAGAGAATAAGAGAATCAGTGTAATACCGTTCTGTCGTCTGATGAGATACAAACTCTAATTCAATTTCTGTCTCTTTCATTTCGCAGGTTCTTGTGAATCTCGGGTTGACTGATGCAGCCATGGGCCGATCACTGGACCTCTGAGAGCACCTACCCCCCCCCCCCCCCCCCCCTCACCCTGTTCCTCTCCACCCTCTATTCTTCCTCTGCCCTGCAGAGCTGGCAGTAGAGTCCTCCAGAGTCAGAAACCAGCCACCAGCCTGTGATACCTTCTCCCCCCCTTCATCTGTGCACCATGAGAAGTGTTGTTTCTCAGATTAGCGGGCCCCCCAGACGGCCCCTGCTGGCCCTGCTGCTGTATCTGGCCCCTCTGCTGCTGATGGAGGGTTGCTGCTACGCGGCCCCCTCAGGCCCGGAGTCTGACTCTTGCTCCACCCTAGTCCAGAGCCGCTTTTTCGGCTTCTTCCTGTCATCGTCAGCGTTCCCCAGCATGCCCTGCTCCTGGACTCTGCAGAACCCCGACCCGCGGCGCTACACCATCTTCCTCAAGGTCACCAAACCTACGGAGCACTGTGTGCCGTCACAGCTGCGCACCTTCCAGTACGAGTCCTTCCTGGAAACAACGCGCACCTACCTGGGCATGGAGAGCTTTGACGAGGTGGTGAAGCTGTGTGACGCCTCGGCCCCCGTGGCCTTCCTGGAGGCGGGAAAGCAGTTCCTCCAGATGAGGAAGGGTCTTCCTCGGGCAGGAAAGACCATGAAGGATGGTGATGGGGATTTCAAAACTGAGTACCTGGTGGTCGGGAAGCGAAACCCCAGCATGGCAGCCTGTCAGATGCTGTGCCAGTGGCTGGAGGACTGCCTGGCCTCCAGCACCTCCAGCAGGCCCTGTGGCATCATGCAGACCCCCTGTACCTGCTGGGAGCCCCCACCGCTGCTCAGTGAGGGGGATAGCTGCTATCACAATGGAGTTTACCTGGAAAACTGTTTACCCAGCGTGAAAGAGAGTGGAACAAATGCTGAGATAAATGGTGAGTAGGAAAGCTTTAATGGTTATTAAGCAAAAAAAAAAATATTACTCCTATTTACGGCTATTTAACAAAATAAATGACGCCTATTTTCTAAGGGGATTACATCATGGTTCACAAATGAACTTAAAACGCATCTAAGTGCTGAGATTAACGATTATCTGGGCTTCTCTGTCAAACAATCACGGAAAAAAAAAGCTTTTCCTTCAACAGAGAAAAGTGTATTTGTTTTATCTGACAAGGTCACCCTTGGAGTATAGCACGCTCTCAGCGAAATGACAGAAAATGGCATATGCAGTAGCGATCAAGCCGGTGGAAATGTGTATGATTTGTGGAAAGTGAGGATAATTGCATGTCATTGGGCCGAAAGCAAGTAAAGTGCTTTGGCTAAAGTAGAGGAGATAAAGAGGGACAGAAGGAGGCAAATGGAAGGTTTAGGGTTTCATCTGATGGAAGCCAGCTCGGTGACCTTGCGAGGTCGAAACCGTATTCCATCCCTCCGGTCCGGGGAGAGACACTCGATCGGCCTTCGGGAAACCTGTGGAAACAGAGGAGAATGAAGCGCTGATATCGGATAGCTCTGGGGCTTCTCAGAAGGGGGGGGGGGGTGATGTAAAGTGAGACAAAAGAGGAAGATAGAAGGAGAAGTGCTGCGATGGAATACTGGCCTGTGGCTTGAGGTCTAATTGTCTGCTGCTTGATCCCGCCCCCCCCCCCCCCTCTTTCCCCGGCAGACAGGATGTGGCCTGACATCTCTATCCTGGCTTCATCAGGACTATGGCCAGAGGGAAGGAACATTTCTCTGCTCCCTCTCTCCCCCTAACCTTTCCACCATCTCACTCTTCCTCCTCTCTCAGTCACTTCCCCTAATCAGCCAGTGGTCTTTCTCTCAGTCCTCCTCCTCCTCCTCCTCCTCTGAGCCACCACCAATCTTTCCCTCTCCAGGCTGATAGTGGGCTGATACTGAGCCAGTCGTGGGAAGCCAATGAAGCAGAGAAGATGTTGGGGTGGGTATCTCCTGCCTTATCCTCCTCCATTCTCCAGAGCGGCGAATATCCCCCAGCCTCCTCTCTGCTAGTTATGGCCCTTATGTAATCCCGCTTATGGTGTTCAACAGCGGGGCGTGGGCTGTTTGTGCCTTAAGGTGTGAAAAAAAAAATATTAACCATCCACTGTTGGCTTTTGTAGAGATGGAAACGCTTTATAGCTCTGTGTGCTTCAACCCACACGGGCGAAATGTCTTTCTGACGATAATCCTGCTTCAGAGTGGCGATGGAACCCTGTGATGAGCTGAAATAGAAAAAGGCAAGCAGGCGCTGAATATTTGGCTGGATGGCTCACTGGATGGATTGAATTGGCGGATGAAGATAAAAAAGGGGTGGGGTAATGGATTCTGTGTGGAAATAGGTCGGAGAGCCAGGCAGTTATGGCCCGCTGTGTAGAGGATGAGAGGAATAGATGGGTTGTGAGTGATGAATGAATGAAAGACAATAGACACAGTAGGGGAGAATAAAGGGGAGTGAAGAGGCTGACAGGCTGAGAGGGGAGTTGTCTCAGGTGAGGGGGCCTGATGAGGATGGATGGTTGTTGCTTGGGTCAGGCAGAACACAGCTGGCCCGGTTTGGTCCCAGAATCCTCAGTAACTGAGGAGTTCAGAGATTACAGCTGCCTCCCAGCATCCTTCACTCCCTCTCTGCAGAAGGACTGAGGTTCCGCCCAAAAGCAGAGAGAGGGGCGAGACCTTCTGTCAGCTCTGCTTAAGTCCAGCTTTTCGGTGGTTGGACAGGAAGTTTGGCGTCTTATTGTGTTGCTTTACCTTGTGCTGAACCTCTCCTCATATCGCCTTGTGTGTCTAAAGCTTAAAAAATAATGGAAATGCAACTTAAAACAGAGAGCAATTTCCCTTGTCCAAGCAGCTTAAAACTGTGAGGGCAGAGACAATTCAGATTATTGTAAATGGAAACTTCACATGTGCAGAATTGTAATCATTTCCTCTGGGGTCCCCTGAGGTGGCTTTATAATCGAGTGAATTGCCACTTTGTCTTATTCAGCCAGACATCATGTCACATTTAGTCAATACCTCGGGCCCAATATCTCTAGATACGTCCATAACAATCTGCACATCAAAATGTAACTCAAATGTTTAGAGCCTCCTCAGGAACTTTGACTCTTTAGGCAGGTGAAGAGATGAAGTGGGCGTGGCAGATGGACTCAGTACAGCAGATTCTTCTCGCAAAGTTTGTGTCCCACCACTGACCTGCATTTCACATTTCAACCAGAACAGAAATCTTTCTCTTACCCTTAAAACAGTTTTTGTTGTGTAACGTTAACCTCGCCATTCCATTATTCCCTAACTTGGCTTTAATGAGCTTACTTACCAAAGCATACTTGTCGGCACATATATTACAGAAAATGAAGAATTGGTCTGACTGAAGACCCGTGTTAAACATAATCCAGGGTTTGCCAACGTTTTTATCAAACAATTGAGTCTTCTGTTTGGTAAGCGGTTTGTTACTACTTTGTTTACTTCCGTAACATAGTGACATCACTATGTAACAATTGTGCTTCTATTGGCTAGCGCACCAAAGCATTGTACGTGAAAGTCTAAGGGGCGGGACATCAGTAAGCATTTGACCAATCACAACAGAGCCGGCCAGCTAACCAATCAGAGCAGACTGGGGTCTGGTTTCAGACAGAGGGTGAAAAGAGGTGCTGCAGCACAGGCAGTATGAGAAAAATAAAGAGCTTTTTGAACATTAAAGCATGGAGACATGTAGAGACACTACATACTGATATACACCTGAACATCAGCAGGAGAGGACTCTTTAAAGTAGAGACACTACATACTGATATACACCTGAACATCAGCAGGAGAGGACTCTTTAAAGTAGAGACACTACATACTGATATACACCTGAACATCAGCAGGAGAGGACTCTTTAAAGTAGAGACACTACATACTGATATACACCTGAACATCAGCAGGAGAGGACTCTTTAAAGTAGAGACACTACATACTGATATACACCTGAACATCAGTAGGAGAGGACTCTTTAAAGTAGAGACACTACATACTGATATACACCTGAAGATCAGCAGGAGAGGACTCTTTAAAGTAGAGACACTACATACTGATATACACCTGAACATCAGCAGGAGAGGACTCTTTAAAGTAGAGACACTACATACTGATATACACCTGAACATCAGCAGGAGAGGACTCTTTAAAGTAGAGACACTACATACTGATATACACCTGAACATCAGCAGGAGAGGACTCTTAAAGTAGAGACACTACATACTGATATACACCTGAACATCAGTAGGAGAGGACTCTTTAAAGTAGAGACACTACATACTGATATACACCTGAACATCAGCAGGAGAGGACTCTTTAATCAATATATTCCAGTATCACTGTCAAAAACGTCATTGTTGAAAATATTAGCTGACAATAAGCAATGACAATTTTGATGAATAAATGTTGACCTTAGTTTGATGCGGTCAATGTTCCTTCCAGTATAAAATCAGATGAGGTCAACCTCTAGTATGACCGATATAGAACAACTTGATTATCTGTCTCACTGTGTCAATAAGGTGATCAATAAGATGTGCTTAACCTACACTGATTCTAAAATGACCTCTTGATCCAATTTAAAGGTTGTGTTTTGTTACAGTTTTTATCAATATCACTGCAGTTTCAATTAAGTCACAGTTTCTCTGAATAGCAGAATGTTTGGGAGATATTAAAGCAGATCCTATAAAATGAAATTCAAAATATTTACAATTAGCGGCTTCACAGAAATGCCTAAAAAAGTTAAATAAATAATCCTGCCTTATTACATTAAGTCTATGTTTTATGAGCGTGGCTAATTGTGTGAACACAGCTCCTGGGCAGTGTGAGAAATCTTTAACCTTTAAGTTAAGAGGAATGGTGATTTCAGGGCTATTTTTGGAATGTTCTGACATTCAAATGGTCAAAGTTAAAGGTTTTGGGACAAAAAATTGGCTGATGGTCCAGAGATATTGGTAGCCCTCCAATGAGTGGATGTGTTTGAGTTGTGTCACGAAACGTGGTGTGGCACGGAGCAGGAGGAAGGATTTATTTGTTAGCCCTCAGCGGACAGCAGGGGAGGCAGTGAGTGATTAAAGGATGGAGGAGAGAGATGTGAGGAGATGAGAAAGCACATGACTCAATCTGAACAAAAGAGACACGTCTGTAATAGCTTTGAGAACGAGCCAGAAATGAATGGCAAAGCTATCTAAAGGTAAAGGCGGTCTGATAACGACTTACGCAATACAATGGGAGCATCAGGGGTGTGCTCGGTTGTACATAATGCACTTTCACAATTGACTTTCAGACATTTTTTATATGTAGAGTAATGATTAAAGCTTGAAAAATAGGCCTGCAAGCATAGAGTGACATGTTACTGTCTGCACTGGACACAGATAAAAGGCTCTTATAATAACAGTGTCACACTGCAAACAAAACAAGAAAATCATCATTTTGAGACAATGTTTGCTGGCTGGACAGACATGTTAATTTTTTACAAATGAACCCCCCAAATTGGCCAAAAAAGGTTAATGTAAAGCTCTTTATCAGATTTGAGAGGCTATATCCTTCAAAGTTATTCTATTTATATACAGCTCACCCTAAAATGCCCGAATGAGGTTTCAAAAAAGCAGCTTTCTCTTGCCTGATATTGTATACTGGTATACCACCATTACATCTATCACTCTCCCATAGTCGACTGTGCACTGCTCATTGTTTAAATGGAAGGCTTTGGGTTTGATCTGATGGAACTTTGAGCAGTTCTCATGAAGATGAGTCAGGAAAAATCAAGTGATTTGATCATATTTGCACTGTGTTTGTGTTTAATTTGTGAAAGGGTGACTTGTAATTCCATGACTTGAATTAGACCAATGAAAAAGCTTTATACCAAGAATAAATACTTGTACTTAACATCAGTCTCATCCAGTTTTCCATTATCTGCTGAAGTTGA